TTCTCCCGTCACGTTGTCACCCTCTTATATATACCAGACTACCCTATCTAGTAAATGCTAGGGCATTCGTGAAGGAACAAGATGGTTCTAGAAACTAGAGGGCGTGAGAATAGTCACGTGATCTCGATGACGCAACAATACATTATATATGTATATATAGATTACTGCTATTTTGAAATAAGTTCTTAAACTTATTTTTCTTTAAACATAGAATAGTAAATAAAGAATTCAAGCAAACAATTATCTCTTCTAGTTATGACCTTTGTACTCGGTTGCTGCTTGACGCTAGTTGCTAAGCCTTTAAAAATTTTGCATATGGAGAATATATATATATATATGTTTGAATAACTAAAACTCATAAATTACTACATCAATACCATATAATTCCACTATAATTTATCAAGCTTAGTAACTAAGATGTACTTTAGTCTAAAAAATATGAAATTTTCGAGCAGACTAAAGACACAACCTTCCTTTTTCAAATCTTGGTTCAAAAGAAAGAAATGGCTTTAAAGCCCATTAAAATGACTGAGAAAGCCACTAGGGGGACATTCTGTTCTTCCAGTTAGTTATTCATGTCATATATAGAAGTAAGTGTATATAAGGGAGCATTTCCCAAAATGGAAAGAGGTGGGCGCAGTGCCACTGTGTTTGATTTATTACATGAGCCACATCTTAACAAATAGAAAAGATAAGAGTTTTTGTTTTATATTCTAGCTTGTCAATATCGATAATTTGAGTTTCTAATTTGTATGAAACTATAGACTTTGTATTTTGACTTCACAAACATCTAATTTGAACCTGTGCTGCATTCAACATACCACTTGACACACAAAAATCTATGTTTATCTGTGTTTTTTAATATTTACTTTTAAATTAAGAAATTGAGTAATGTATAGTACTAAAATTTGAATTATAGTCTACAGTTTGATACCAAACTTATTGGCATAAATTTGTGAAATAGTAGTTTAATAAAATTTTGAATTCGAGTCAACAAACTAGATGACATGACCTTTCACACGTGACCCGTCTTGAAAGGGTTTAAAGATGGCTCCATTGGTCAATTAGCAAGTACCAGAAATCACCAAGCTTTTGTGATAAGTCTAAAATTTGTGATAAAAATCATATAAACTAGAGTTTTTTTTTTAACCAACATGCTTGGTAAAAATTTTAATCCAAAATGGACAAATTAAGAAAATTGTGAAAAAATCTGCATTTAACTTGATTTTTATCACAAATTGTAGGCGTATTAGTTTCTAACACTTTTACCATTTAAACCATATTAACAGAAAGTGTTATATTTTATAAGACTATTACAGAAAGCCAAGTTTTAATGATGTTGTGGTGAGAGTATAATATCTTTATTTGGGAACATAAATGTAGAAAAGCTGTTTGTATACAGTATCTTAATATTTTGTATATGCATATTTTATGTACATTAATTATTATGGTATATGTTAGAATATCAGAGAAAATATTTTCTTGTTTATTACAATTTTTACACTTGGTAAACATAAGTATTTACTTGACACCTTCAAGATAGTATATTTTATTTAAATGAAATTATTAGTGTAGATAGTAATAGTTATAAACTTCAGCTGACAAAAGTCAGATAACATCAAAGCTACTTTTATCAGATAACAAAATAGGTTAATAAACAAAATCTGGTATAATGTCTCAACATTTTTTAAATCTGATATTACCCCCCCACCCCTCCCCAGTGGATCAGTAGTAAGTTTGCAAGCTTATGATGCTAAAAATTGGGTTTCAATACTCGTGGTGGGCAGAGCACAGATAGCCTATTATGAAACTTTGTGCATAACCAAACCCAGGTATTATGTTTTTTTTTAAAACAAATTAAGCTAAGGTAACCTAGAAATTTTGGACAACGAAAAAACGTTATTTTTTGTATCATTAGCTACAGAAACTTTTATTAAAATTTAATATCAGTCTGTAGAAATTATCATAATGTTTCATAAGCTGGTTATAAGGCCACTGCAATCCAATACAGCTGTCAGTTTTCTGGTTAGTATGTCTTTTGTTAATATACAGAATGTATTTATTTTGAGTTACTTCTTGGTATCACTGACATTTTCAAAATTTTTTGTATGTCATATTTCACAAAAATAGTGCACTAAACCATTGAAAATTTCTACCACTAACACATATTGAAAGTTATGGGCAGATTTCAGATACTGTTGGTTTTATGAAAAGAAAAAATAAATTATAACTCTTAACCATTGTAGTCAAGTCATGAAACTTAATACTAACTAGTTAGCTATTATTACAACATAGTGTACTTTTTGTATACCCATATTGCTGCTAATCTATATGGTAAATAGGAAGGACTGCTAGTTTCTGTTATCTGTTTGTTGTTATTTGCAGACGGACAACAAAAAACAAGCACTAGAAGAAACAAAGAACTTTACAACCCAGTCATTAGCTAGTGTAGCTTACCAAATAAACACACTGGCCTATAATCTGCTTCACATGTTGGACATGCAGACAACACAGATGGCTGAAATGGAATCTCAGATTAACCATATTTCTGAGGTAAACAGTTCATGTTGTTTTTGTACCTTAAAATCTTTCGGGATTTCCGTGTGAATTCCTAAAAGATTAGCTATTCTTTTCCATGCATTATTTTTAATACACTTATTGTGTATATGATAAAAATGTAAAAAAAAATTAAAGGTTAGTTTGAGTGGTAGCTTTACGTAATAGTGAAATCAATTTAATTTTTTTGTTTGAGTTTATACATTACTATGCACAACTGGCACATATTTAGCTATAAACAATTATGCTGAACTAGAGTTTGAAGAAAACTTCTAGTTTCTGTTATACCAGGAGATTATGAGAACAAAATGTTTTCCAGCTACAATTTTGGCATCAACAAATCAATGTGTTGCAAGCGTAACAAGTAATTAGCTTTGCTTTGTACTAATGAACCATGTTTTCCAGCTATAATTTTGGCATCAACAAATCAATGTGTTGCAAGCATAACAAGTAATTAGCTTTGCTTTGTACTAATGAACCATTAGTGTTGTTCTCACTCATCATTGTATCAAATGTCATTCAACCCAGGAATAGAAAATAGTTTTTATTTTATCTCCATGTTATATATTTATTGAGTAAGCTTCCAATTTTGTTTATGCCATGTTCAGGCTGTTGTATATTAAGAACAGTTTTAAATTAGTGTGATGTTGATATATATGTTAATGCATGTGAACGGTATCGACTTTACAAAAATAGAAAAACATTTAAAGTTATAAATTTCCTACAAAATTGCTTATTTTAACTTTTAAAGAAAAGCTAATTTTTAATAAAAATAATTGTATATGCTCTACAAACAGTCTTGATTATTTTTATAGCTGTAAATTTTCTGTCATGTCACATAGGCAGGGAGCTATAACTTAACAATCTGCTATTAGCTGTTGATGCACTTTCAAAAATTATATCAAATGTAGTCTCCTACCTTGTGGTGCAAGCTGTGTTAAATAACTTACTCTATCAGAAAGTTAATGGAGGAAAGTGTGAAAAACTTATTTAATTACTTGATTAAGTTGTAAAAATATATTTTTAACATTTGGCTTGCTTAAGAGGGCACTCTGTGATACACTTTTAGTATCCCTAATCTTTTTGGCACATGTAAGTTACCTATTATCTTACAGCAGACACTTAAGTTTAGAGATATATATTAACTTTTTTTTTCACTAAAAACTAAACTGGATATCCCATTTTTAGTTATGATTGCAGATTTTGGATGTCTAGGGACATTTCTGGGAACTCAATTTCGCTCTCTGTTGGTTCCTGTTTGTGTAGTCATGATATGTTTAGGACATAAAGGCAGATACATGTAAGACTTTCACTGCTAAGTGATGTCCTCTCTTGACTCCTATTCATGTAGTCATGATATGCTTAGGACATGAACATAAGGGTAGATACATGTAAGACTTATTTCCATATGAAATGTTACCTCAGAAGAAGGGAACTGAATGACATATTTTGTTTTAGCAGTGTCTTTTGTAAGTACTTTTTATCACTTCTACTGTTGTATTGTACTAGTTAAAATGATTAAGAAGTTTTTATGTGTTCTAATTTACAGACAGTGATGATTCATAAGGAAAAGGTTGCTCGTCGAGAAATTGGAATTTTAACAACCAATAAAAACACAACACGGCAGCATAAAATATTAGCTCCTGCGAATCCTGAACGTCCAATTAAGTATACTCGTAAACCTGTAGATTTCACAGTCTTGGATGATATTGGTCACGGAGTACGAACTCTTTTAACCAACCCACATTCAAAACGTACTCCTCCTCAGATTGTTCAGGGACACATAAACACCAGTAGTGCAGGGCCTGCTCCAACTACTAAACCTCCAACACCACCTCAGCCAGTAAGAGTAGCTGTTGGAAGTGGAGGAAGTCTTTCCCGCAGCAATCGTGAATATAGGACACTAGCTCCACCTATAGCTCCACCACAAGTTCCCAGCAATTATGCACCAAATTTTCCTATTGGTCACCCAAAAGCACCAGAAATACAACGGGGAAATGGTTATTCCACTCTTCCTGCTGTAGGTAACCAACCTCAGTCTTTACAGAACACTGGTGCACAACAACCGCAAGTGGGAATGGTTCATCCAATGTCTCATCTTCAGCAAAACTTGGAACCTCCTTCACCCACTTCTCCACTTCCACCTCCACCCATACAAGAAACATCAATGGCATTATCAAATGATAGCCTCCCTGGTAAGTTGTGAAACTTATATATTTGTTAACAGTGTCTAAATAGTGAAAATAAATTATAGTTATGTTGTTGTTTTTTTCAATTAAATCAATATAGGATTTCTTGAAATGATCCAGATTCTGTTGATAAATAATAATCATTATTAGTTGTAAAGCTATTGTGGTAAAGGCATGGTCTAACTTCTCATACCAATACTTTCTAAAACTTTCATATATTTGCAGAAATTGGCATGGATCCAAATCTCTGTGTATGAAATAGCTTGTAGTATCCTGTAGTTATTTCTAGATCTCATAGTAAGCCATCATACACATGTGTTTCAGCTATGTTACTGTCTGGTTGAATTCTATTCTTAAATGTATTTCAGGTTTATATTTTATACTGCTGGAATTCTAAATATTGGTCAACTGAATCCCCTTATCAATACTTTAATTTCTATTTTGACTTCTGTGAGTTCTCAAGTTTTTTTCTATTTTCTTTATTATTTTTTAACTTTAGTTAATTTGTGTTTTATTATTTGGTGTCTGTGGCATTCTCTGAAGTTTATGTGTATAGTTTTAAGGGCTAGGCTTGCTCTCTTTTAGTGGATGTACAGTACTTTATGTAAATGTTTGTGGACCATTAAAGATATACATTTTTAACCAAGTATGCCATATTTCTGAGAAGATGATGTGTATAGTTTTAAGACCTAGGCTGATAATGGGACTTGCCCTCTTTTTGTGGATCTGCAGTTCTTTGTCTAACTGTTTTTGCACCTTTAAAGATACACATTTTTAACCAAATCTTCTATATTTCTGTGAAGGTCATATTTAAAAGGTGGATCAGATTGTAAAATGGAATTATAATGAACAATCTGCTAGAACATTTCTTTGTTGTAGACAATGTTTGAGTATGCTTCTATAGATCATCAGGTTTGTGCTTTTATCTTTTAAAGCATTCATAATGGAGAGTTCTTGTGTACTATCATCATTGGTTGAGTGGATGTAGTTCCCGATTGGTATGTTGGGTTTTTGTGAACAAGGCTTATGATTGACTGCTTTTGAGGAGTTTGTTCAATAAATTGCTCATCCCTGTTCTTTAGTGTCTAATGGAGACTTCTACAGATTGCTAGTCTGTTGAGTGCAGGGATTCCCTGTTCTTTAGTGTCTGATGGAGAGTTCTCTAGATTGATAGTCTGAGTACAGGGATTCCCTGTTCTTTAGTGTCTGATGGAGAGTTCTCTAGATTGATAGTCTGAGTGCAGGGATTCCCTGTTCTTTAGTGTCTGATGGAGAGTTCGGTAGATTACTAGTCTCAGTTGAGTGCAGGGATTCCCTGTTCTTTAGTGTCTGATGGAGAGTTCGGTAGATTACTAGTCTCAGTTGAGTGCAGGGATTCCCTGTTCTTTAGTGTCTGATGGAGAGTTCTATAGATTGATAGTCTCTGTTGAGTGCAGGGATTCCCTGTTCTTTAGTGTCTGATGGAGAGTTCTATAGATTGATAGTCTCTGTTGAGTGCAGGGATTCCCTGTTCTTTAGTGTCTGATGGAGAGTTTATAGATTGCTAGTCTTTGTTGAGTGCGGGGATTCCCTGTTCTTTAGTCTGATGGAGAGTTCTATAGATTGCAGGGATTGTTATTCTAAGGTATAAAAACTTCTTTATTTTTCTGGTTTTTGTGCTGTTTACTTTGTAAGTTATTTTGCTTTTATGTTATTCTGTGCTGTGACCTGTGTCCAAAATGTTTTTTGTAATAGTGAGTGAGTTGGGCTTTATCATTCTTCTTTATATTGGTGTTCTTTGAGTCTCTGTTTTCTTGTTTATGCTATATATAACAATGTATAGGAACACTCAATTTTAAATATATAATGTTCAATGTTGGGTAGTTTGGAGTACATTTTTTAGAAGATTCTTCAGTGGTTATACCATTTTGAAATAGACTCAAACTTGAAACTTTTTTGGATATTTTCTAGATATTTTAACTTATTCTGGGGATAAACAGAACAGTTATTTTAGCTTTAGATTGTGTTTCTTGCACACTTTTTTTGTTTTTGGTTACCCATTGGCTTCAAAGACAAGGTGCTCCAATTCTTTAACTTACTCTAATTGTTTTCATAAGCAAGGATTCTCCTCAAGCATTTTGCAATATGGATTCATTCATTTTGTGGGAAATTCATTAATCTTCTTGCTGCCAATTATGGGCTTTATAGCTTTATTGAATATCACAACCCATTCAAAACTATCATGTTTACACTTTAATTTTGTTAAAATAATAAAGAACCATTATAATGTTACATTCTCCATTATTTTTACTTCCTATTACTTTTAAGTGTTTTCTATAGTGTACAGTATAACATTACACCCTTAGTTAGGTTTTGCCAATTTCCCATAATAACTTTGTTATATTCACTATTCTTTTGCTTCCTTATCTAGACTATTGTCCTTTTACTCTAGTTGCATGTTGTTCTGGGTCATGCCATGTTAGTTTAATTACAGTTTACTGTGCAGAGATATATAGTAACATTTTTAAAACTAGCATAGCCAGTGGTGCTTAGAAGATATAAGCTCCCTCAGTTATTTTATAATGGAATGGCCATGAGTTTTACACATGCATATACTGTTCTGATAACGTGAAGCATTATCAGTCTTAAAAGATTTCATGGCATGTATTTTCTAGCAACAATAGTTAGTTATTTATAACCTATCATTTCTCTAAGGTTACTTTGAGTAACAGTATTGGTTATTATATTCATTATAACTAATATTCATTATTATTATTATAAAGGTTATTTTACATTGTTAGTTTAGTTTATGGATTTAGGACTAATCTAAATCTACTGAGCTAAGTAAAAGCTTTGCCACAGTGCAGTAACAGAAAGTTGGTTAAATTATTTAATATAGATATATACATTAATCTTTTATTATACCTAATTTCATATTCATATTTATTATTTTTATATCATAATGATTATCCTGTGTTATTAGCTTAGAATATGGATTTAAGACTAACCTAATCCTACCTGGATGCCCAAATATCATCAAATATTATTAGATTTATGGCCAAAAATATTGCTATAACTGAGGGTACCCAGTTGATAAAATAATGCATTTTAATCATTAAAAGTAAGAACACTCTACTAAGTTAGATATTTCTGATAAGGTATGTTACCTTCTCTCACATAAATAGCTATTTTCACTCAGTGCTGCCCTCTATATGCAAACATTTTTCCGCACACTATAAGCCTTGAGCTACCACGTACTCCATGTTCAGCGTGGTTCAACTGTGTCTTGCATGCAAATCATCATGCAACAACTCTCCTGACTCATGTGACTCCCTCCATTCAATTCTACGTAGCTATCACTTCTCGCTTGGCAGTGCTATTGTCAAGGTGTTTTTTGTTTGTGCTCTCTTCCCACAGTTTTTTTTTACATTTCATATGAAGTGGAGATATTTTTTCCCTACTTCACTTTACCAGTTTTAAGTGATAACTTACCTCTATTCTTCTTGACATTTTTTTTATATTTTCACCAAAGATTATGTTTCCACTTTGAAAATGTTATCATTTACTTCCAGCACAATTACCCAGGCTTCAGTTGGCAGTACTCGACTGAGCAATTGTCAGCTTTAATATATTGGAAGATTGATTGTTGTATGAGTTGACCTTTGTTGGTCCTTGAGTTTGGGGGCCCACACATTTGGAATACGGTTCGCTGACTTTGGACAAATAAGCTGCTATACTGTTATCATCATCAAGTGCTGTGCTTTGTAGCATAGGCAATCATGTCCCTCCACCTTTCCTGGCTCCAGGCACTTGTGACTACATCAGTCACCCTCTCTCTGTGTAGTCAAATTGTTAAACTGTCTAGGATCTTCTCTCGCTGTCTACCTCTACTTTATTTCCTCACAAATTTCCCAGTTGTTATCAAGTGTTCCATCCCTCATCACATGACCAAAGAATGCTGCTTGTCTTTTTCATACTTTTGTTATCAGTGTTCTTTTTTGTTTCTGCTTGTTGTAGAAATTCTTCATTTGTTTTCCGGTCTTTGTCAGAAACCCTAAGCATTCTATGCAGGAACCGCATTTTGGTCGCATTAAGTGATTTTTCCATTTGTTTCTTTATTGTCCATGATTTGCAACCATACATCAAGATTGGTTTGATGTAGCAGCTAAGAACTCTTTTGCACACTTTCGTTGATTTACCTTTGTTATTCAATATATTTTTTATCTTCATAAGTGTTGACTTAGCCTGTGCAATTCTGCTCTTGACCTTATTTTGACATCTGTTATATACTGGTATAACTTTTTGAATAATTTTATTATTAATATTATTATTTGCAATTCTATGGTTTCAATAAGATACATTTTGTTAGATTTTCACCTACTTTTTTTGTAAGGTTAGGGTTTTTTAATTAACATATAGTGATATACATTGTTTATGCTGGGCCTTTTTGTCTCTCATTTCAGAGATGGTGCTAGCATACCTTGCCCTCCACAGGCTTTGGTTCATTTTGCCTTAGCT